GATGATGCAGCCGCTCAGCCCATGAAGGAACACGTGTGGTCCCGATTCCTTTATCAAGGACTGATGCAGCAATACAACTTCACTTGCTGGTTCGAGATTTTACAATGCATGTTCTGGTCGTCTACCAGCTTCCAAAGGTGTCACTTATATGAACTGGATCCTTCGCTCAAGATACAGCTACCATGACAACTTTCCCGCTCCGATGCGGCACTGTTATGCCGCCTTTGGTTGGGTGTTGCATTCACAAAGGTGTACTCCTTTTGCGTCAGGATGGCAGACACCTCTACGTGCGACTCCTGTGGAACTGAAGAAACCATCAAACACGTCCTGTGCAGCTGCGCTTCCTACGACACGCAGCGATGCCAGCTCCGGATGGTTTTGCACCAACTGGACTCTAGACCATTCTATGTGCGGAAGATTCTGGGACCTTGGGCGTCTGCCTCAATTGCGCAGAAAGCGACTAAAGCACTACTACATTACTTGAAGACAACAAACCTGAGCGACCGCCTGTACACTGAGTGTGCTCCCCCGAGTGTGCTCGTGATTGTGTGTGCCTTTCTTATTTCTCTGCAACCTCGTCTCTCCTCTTCATCCCTTCCCAAATGCAGGGTAGTAAACCAAATGTGCGTCTCGTTAACCTCCCTGCCTTTCCTTGCATCTTTATCTGTTTCTCCGCCTGAGTGGAGAACTGCGAAAATAATTCCTTTCTTGAAGAACCATGAAGCTGGATTTACTTTAGATAACAAGACCTATTTCACTCCCATCTATATTGTTTAATCTAGTTGAAACAATTACACTTTAAGATATACAACTTGTTGAATGAAAGCATGATTTTAAGTCCATGCCCCTCAGGCATGGCTGCTACATTTGGTGTGCCCACCCTCTAAAAAGAAAAGGGGTATCGAAGTTGCTCCTATAGAGGAGTAACTAACTAGCCACACCCATTACACCATTTTGGGAGTAACTGTGAAGGAGTAACCCCGCTCTCGTGATTACTCCTCAAGGGAGCAACAGTTAGCAAAAAAAAAAAAGGATAGCGTTCAGGTTCACTTAACAAGCCTTTCGAAGTGAGTGCAAACATTTAGTTTGATGTACAAACTACTTGTAAGCCACACATTCAGAAATAGACTTCGGAAAATTCGCAGGGAAGACACGGAGTCAAACTCCCGGCCCCTCAGCAAGCAAGCGCGTACACTAACCAATACACTTCATCTCGCCGCACCACCAGCTGTAAGGAAACAGGCTTGTGTGTGCGCCAATGGGTCATTTGCAGACGGCACGAACATTCATACAGTTACTCCAAAAAAACGGGCGCTTTACTCCACAAGGAGGAAAGTGTACCTTCTTGCCTTCCCGTGAGCAATATTTGGCGCACATTTAATCTTTAGGATGAGCAAGAGCTGCTTGCGGGGTAACGGCGCCGTTCTTCCAGAGTGCATGTTGATTTGGAAAGCAGTACACAACTAGCTCGTTCTAAAATACAGGTTAACTAACTCTACATTGTAACAGGTTAATAACTCTACATTGTATCGGAAACTACAGTTTTACATGAATGCTCTGGACACGTGGTTGGACGACAATGATCTGTCAATTAACATCAGGAAAAGCGCGATTGTACTTTTCCCGCTAAGTGTTCCTGTGAAGATTTCGACACTTTATTGCGCATTCACACGCGAGGGAAAAATCCCGCTTCTTTGAGGACTGATCCGTCACGTGATCAGTTCCATCCGACAAAATCGCGGAAGCGTCCCTTGCACATAGCCGGAGCACAGCTCACGGAATACGCGTGCACACTCTCGAATCATACGATTACGCAAGGCTTCTCCTGCTAGAGCACCAGGTACATGCAAGGAGCTTCAAAAAACCATTGACGGAGTGGAAATTCTTGCCCGCGAGTGAAGCCGTGCCAAGCGTAACATGGCGACTGCGGCGGCTATCTTACTAGGGGCATGATGAGCTGTTGGCATTCGGCGATCGAGAAGGAGCGTTTTCCTCGGACGCCCAACCTTTTCGGATCAGATAGTGCGTAAAGTGCGTCATTGTGTAACTAGTTTCCTTTAGTAAGCCTCTATTTCAAGACAAATTTTATTGGATATTAAGTCACCGATAATTGTTTCTGTGAGTTATTTCATAGGATACTACTATCTTATTATTTCTAGTTGGAGCGCTTTAGCCTGCTACTCTACACTGGGGGAGGGGAAAGGGGAGAAGAAAGACTAATGGATGACGATGGTAAGATATAGAGGTGAGTATATAAAATTCTTTCTAGTTGAGAAAAATGTTATAGCCGCGAATATAGTCCAGTAGCTTCCTAAAGGTTATAACCGCTCCTATGACCACAGTTGCACTGTTGGTGTCTGGCCAAGGGCCCAACACGGTCTCATCAGTTAATGACCTACTGCGATATCGTTCAGTAGAAAAAATCAGTATTTGTCGTTCATGTGCGTGTGCTGGGCCCTCACAAAATATGTGCTCAAGTGTTTCTCGCACATCACAGTGCTCACAATTAGGACTAATGTCACTGCGACCGATGATATGTGCGTAACGTCTGGTGTACGCCACACCGAGACGAATGCGGTGGATCGTACTTGCGAGTAGCCGTTTCAATTTAAGGAGCATGCGGGACCTCATTTCAGGGTCCCATTTGTGAAGTCGCCGGTGTCACCCGCTCTGGTTTGGTCCATTGCTGAAGTGTGTAGCTGCGCATCACGCCGCGAAGCAGGGCCTTCGTGTCAGCTCGTGAAAATGCAATGCGTACTTCAGGGGCACTGCTTAAGGCATTTTTAGCTTCAGCGTCTGCCTCTTCAATTCCCATCATTGCTAGTTAAACCAGCCTTTAGACTAATAGACGAAAGCCACTTGATGTCTAAGTGGGCGCAACCAGAAAATAGCATGTTCCTGAGATCTTCGTAGGACCAAATCTGGCTTCGCTATTGCTGGCGAATCATTGCGCGTGCTTCCACTCCAGGGTACATGAATGTATTCCAAGGTGGAACGCTGTTTGAAACAACGTTTGTGCGCGGGCACGTGCGCGAGGTATTTCGATCTCTGGCGCGGGTGGAGGATGCTGGACGGTGTGAGGATCGGGAGTTCTCATAACGTGTGCGTCGTGTGATGCGCCGTCCACTGCGAAAATTTCTTCTCCATCCACTCGTGTGAATCCAGCTTTACAAACAGGACGTTATCCCGCAGGTGGAATCGATTAAGAATTTAGGAGCGACTTATTCAGAAAAGCTAAATTGGAGTATGCATATAGAAAATATGGCAGTTAACGGAGCACGGGTGGCAGGGATGCTTCATAGGCTCAGCGGTAAACGCTGTGGTTACCTCGTGATGTGCATGCTCGTCCTGACATATTGTTTGTATATTCGCCCTATATTAGAGTTTGGCTGCGTCTTGTTTTCTGGAGCTCCCTCCTATACAAACTTCGACCAATGGTACTTCTGCGCGAAGCATGACGATTATATCTTCGCCAACCTAAATTTGTCGCTAATAATAGTTTACATAAAAATGCGCACCTGCCTTCTCTTCTTACAAGGCTCGAAATACTAACATAAGTACATTTCTGAAAATAAATGCATACCCAAAGAGGAAGTCGCAGTATCTTTTCAATAATGTGCCGACGGCCTTTTTTGAACAACAGTGGTCTAGATTAAGGTGTCCACAAGTTATTGTCGTACGGAAGTTCTTCGAAGCATTGCAAGTAAACATTTGTTAAGTACTGGTACTAAGGAGACCTATTTAAAGAATTAAAATGAAATTTAACAGTATATTTTCTAAGAATGGCGAAGAGCTTTCCAGTAGATACCTGAATGCCAGACTACCTGGCAAGATTGAAATAAAATATTGTAATAGCGGCTGGTGCTTCAGTTTGTGAAAAAAAGGCAACAGTGGGAATTGCATCTTCAGTGTTGAAATGGTCTTTTTCACTTCGTTTACCTAATTCTACACCAGTTTATAGAGCGGAATGACTTGCAATTGTCTTTGCATTGCGAGAATTTTCTTATATTACAGATGCTGTCATTCTTGCAGACTGCAGCTATGTCTGTTCTTCATTAACCGCACTGAATATGCCGAATGCTTTAGAAGTGTTTTATGCCCTTGCCTCGAGACATTCACGTCTCATTAGATTGGTATGAGTACCAGGTCACAAAGGTTTAACCCTCAAAAAATATGCAGATATACTTGCAGTGGCCTCACATAATGGTCGCATAATTTCTATATAGCCGTTGCTAGCATACATTGTTGGGGCACGATTTGAAAGATTTGTCACATCGTATAACTTTGAAAAGTCTCGCTTGGCAACATCTCAGTTTTCTCATCTTAAGTACCTTGAAAAATAAATAAATAATGGTGCTCCTCTAGAAGGGCGGAAATATCATTTACGAGACTACGATGCCGAGTCTCTCGACTGCATCTTTACTCACAGAGGTCCGGTCTGTTACAGCCACCCTTGTGCCTCCAGTGCAACGAGAGTTAATCTCTGCATCATTTCCTCTTAACATGCACGCTGTTTGCATATCAAAGGCAAAGACTGCTTTAGAAGAACCTCTCAGTAGGTTGACTTTAAGTGTGTCCCTTCCGGTTGTCTTTTCCTTTGGAGCCACTGAAAAGGGATTTGGCCACAGGAACGTTTGGGAAGCTGTGCGCGATTTTCTAAAAGAAAAGAAACAGAATGTTAAGCTTCAGCATAAATTTACTTTTTTTCAACCCTATAACTTGTTGGACTTTCTTTTTTTACTCTATTTTTTATTCTTTTATTATTCCGTGTTTTACATATTTCTTCTTTAAAAGACCTCCCTAACTAAACGTATTCGGCTGGTAAAGCAATTGGCGCCGTCCATATCATGGCCCATCCCCCGTGGTGGGTTGAGCCACCGTTGCTAGTTTACTCTAGTGACGTTGTGTTGAGCGGGTCGAGCGAGTCATCCAAGGGCCAACGAACTAACTAACTATACATTTCACATATCCGATGTGTCGCGCTATAACTGCGCGCTTACCTTTGCGGTACGCTTGCAACGTGCCAGCGTGCTCGTCCAGCCGCTCCACTTGCAACGACAGCTTGGCCTCGGGCAGAAGCACGGGGTCCGTGTTGACGCGGTCCACGGCGTAGCGCAGAGCGCTCTCCGCAAGCGCATCGTCATCGCCTGTCAGCAGAGCACCTGTGGGGCAGAACGTTACAGTGTTGAGCATGACCGTTCTGAGCACCTGTTATATTTCATGCCTGTTTTCTCTTACTGAGACAGCAAACATATGAATAGTCTAGGTGCACTTTTGCCATCACTGTCACCGTCCTACTCCATATAAAGTCCAAATAATTAACGTCGTCTATAACGTCAGCTCGTAAAGCTGCCTTGTTTGTTTGCAAAAATTGCCCCGCCATGGTGGTCTAGTGGCTAAGGTACTCGGCTGCTGACCCGCAGGTCGCGTGTTCAAATCCCGGCTGCGGCGGCTGCATTTCCGATGGAGGCAGAAATGTTGTAGGCCCGTGTGCTCAGATTTGGGTGCACGTTAAAGAATCCCAGGTTGTCGAAATTTCCGGAGCCCTCCACTACGGCGACTCTCATAATCATATGGTGGTTTTGGGACGTTAAACCCCACATATCAATCAATCTTTGCAATTATTAAAGTTCTAATCTGAACATTCAGTATTTTCCTTTTTACTTCCAACACTTAAAAAAAAAAGAACGCTCTTGTTACTTCTTGTTCGCACTTAAATTTTTCCTTTGCACTAACTTAGGTGGTCCTGCCTGCGAGTTGTTACCATGGGACCTCCACCTGCATATTTACCTGCTATGTACTACATTTTCGATGACCATAAAGAAAGAAAAAAACGTTTGATTGATTGCTTGATTGATTGATTGAATGATTGAAAGACTGAATGTTTGATCACTAACAATGCTGCGCGTGCCATGTCTTCTATGCACGAGTAAAAGAACGTTATCCCTGCCGACGAACACCGATCAAGAAGTGATCAAACAAACCGGGGCTGTCTCCGTTCCTGGAAAGGAGTTCCGGAAGGGTACTACGTGGCTCCGACAGGAAGACATGCGCGTTTTATCTCAGTTATAGGGATCAGCGGACAACTCGTACCTTTACACGTGTTGTGTTCCTATCGTACACAGCTTGCGGTGAAGCGTTACACAGTGCGACTGTTAATTCACTTGCCGCAGCAACTGCATTTTGTCATGCCACTCTTTTGATTGAGTTAAGCCAGGTTTTGTGATAGAGGAGCGAGCTGCCAGCATTTCTTTGAACAACATTCCGATTTGTCAATATCGCGTTGCAGGCCTGTAGCCCGTAATATTTTTTCATGAGGGGGGGGGGGGCGGCACTTGTAGAAGGCCTTGAAAAACACATATTCTCATCATATATTGTTCTGAGTAAAACGCCCCCTCTATACAAATTTTGAGTGGAGGGGGGGGGCGCTTGGGCACTCTTCTGTCTAAATGGCTATAGGCCTGCCACATTGATTGCTGTGGCCTAGCGGTGAGTGTCCCCCTTTTTTTCGCTTTTTCTTTCTATGTCGAATTTATCGTGACCTCTCTGAACCTGTAGACTATAAGGTGTGTGTTGCGCCACATAAATTTCATCGCGCTGTCACCTAAGGCAGGTAACTCACGCCTTTTCTTTTTAGCAGTAGAGGGCCTTTCTGAACGTTGTAGCTGCAAATAGAGGCTATTGCAGCAAAGGTGGTCCTCGCGCAACCACTCTGAACGTAGAATCTGGCAAATGCGATAGCCGTGTCCAATCGAGGGAGTGAAGCCAGCACAAAGGAACGCCACCTCAGCAGCCACATTTTATTTGGAACCAATTTTGGGCGACATATTTCTCGCGCATAAAGACCGCCACAATAAAAAACTACCTTGACTTGTCTCTTGTTGTAAAGGTCTGTAGGTCTGTAGATGATTTCATAGTATTTGTTGATTGTTCAGATGCCGATTTTCAAGTTGTTGTCACCAGTCTTCTAGGTTTTTTCATGGATCACTTACATCCTCTGGAACTTACGCATGAGCTACCGTCTGGTAATTCGATTAGGTTCTTGGACCCAACCCTCTGTCTCCGGAGCACTCGTTTGTGCTGAACGTTCCCACCAAAAAGTGGTAAACCCATTTTACTTTTCCACTCAGCTCATTCAATGCTGATGAAAAGGGTAGTCATTATTGTTTACCCTAATGCTCTTAGGTGGTCACGCCCGGACTCGATGCAACACAGTTTCAAAACACAGGTCGAGCGATTCTTAAGCGCTGGTTACTCGAACTGATTTCTGCTGTTGCGGAAAAGTTTTTGAAACAAATAAAGAATCAGGAAGGGCAATCTCAGCCTCAAAATGCGTGAGTTCCTAAAAACTGTGTTGCAGTCCTTTATTTGCACAACGTTTCGCCTAGACTGGAAAAAAACAACAACCGGGAAACGCCCCAGAAAAGCTATCAAAGCTTTGTGTGTTGGTGAATCATCCAGCTGAAAACAAAGCAAGATTATCCGTGAAACACAGAACGCACCTTGTTCCTTGCGCTATATGTGTCGTGTATCTTCTTCCGCTATCCTGCGGTAAGATATACATAAGGCAAACCGAAAGGTGCTTCAATAACCATTTAAGAAAGCATTATAATAATGTGCACAATGCGATTCAAGGACATCTCGGCATCCACTACCATTACTGCGGCTGCGTGCCCCTCTTTGAGCGTTGCGAGGTAATAGGCAAGCACCACTCGCAGGCCATGCGTGATGAGATAATTGAAGCATATTATCACATAAGTGAGTTCGCCATCAGTTGCGCTATTGCAGAAAGAGATCGCGTATCTCGATCATTTTAAGCTGGGTATTTTTTGTTTCCAGCTCAATCAACAAGTGTCAAGAGTTTTGTTGACATTGTATCACAGTGGTTGTTAGCTGCACCCTTCTACGCAAGTCCAATACTTTTTTATTTCCCCTATATATATGCACACCATGCCGCTATTAAATCATTCTTGAAAGTCAGCGCTCCTTTCTATCCTTGTTCATTGCTTGCGTAGTTACGCTGTATGTGACTCCATCTATAGGTAGCGCTGTTCGTATATTCAGTTCTCTCCGCACTCGTTCTGTCGACTTTATTCTATTTCTGCCTTTCTTCCTTTATCATCTCCTTCTCTTTTTCTTTTTATTTGTTTCTTTCTCTATGGGCACTCGTTCACTCACCTATCAGGGTCATTGCATTCCACGCCGGACAAATCGGCACCCGTGCTTTGAGAGCCGAGCAGAAGACGAAGAAGATGACAAAGAGAGCGCATTCTGGTTCGTGACAGTTTTCCGGTGTCGCCACAAGCATAAATAAAATGCTTAACTTATCCGTTCTAAGACCCGATGACCGGCAATAAATAAAGTTCAGTTACATGCCTTGTTTTTTGTTGTTCCTGATGTTTTTTTTTTTTTCGCATTAAAAATCACATACATTCCACTCACTTATAATAATCGTCTCGCGGGGTTTTTTTCTTTTTCATACCTTTTTCACGGAGCGCCTGTTACAAGACTTTTTCTGCTTTTTTTTTTCGCTTGTGCTTTCCATTAACGTTCTAATGCAGCTGTCGTGGCCGTGAATCGAGACTGCGTCCTCAGGCTTGGTCGTTCTAACCGCTGAAGCAGTACCGCAGGTACAAATAGGCAGCACAAAACAAATATCGCTCGCTTATTTCTAGAAGTAGAACCGCGGTCCTGATGTTCTCCGCACGAGCAAAGGGCCCACTTGAATTGGTGACAAATTCCAGCAAATATGATTGAAATCAAGACGAGCCGTTTGGGCGGTTGCCTTACCAAGAATAGGTTAGTCTGGCAACTGCAGTTAAGCTTGCCGCGTGAAACGAAACCACAAAATACAGTGTTTCAGTGTCAATTCAGAGACGTCCCGTTACGATCTTAAAAATGCAAAAACGTTGGTATCCTTCTGCCTAGATGAAAACTGCATGAGAAACAAGTAGCGTAGCCAGAATGTTTTCTGGGAGGGTTCAACTATACTCTACGTGTGTTAGTTCATGTCTTTGTATGTGTACTTGTATATACACACATGCCCAGCTCAAAACATTCGCGAGAAGAGACAGTTTGAACAGCCTCCCCTCGTTCCTGTATAGGGCAGTGGGAAGAACGGTATACAAATCACGATTGTTTCATTAAACGGTAAACAGTAAACATTCTGTCCAATCATGCATTTTTTTAAATTTTCAAGTATACTCGCACCGAAATACTACATACAGGCCACCACTCGTGTTCTTCATGACAGCACTCTATAAATTGCCCTTCCAGTGGTCGGTGGACGTAAACTCTTGCCCGAAGTGACAACTAATTATCAATGGCTTGTTGAACTGAAAATGTTCTAGCATTGAAATGCTCCACTCCGTGAAAATGCACATTCCTAGGTCATTAAAGTACTTGAACAGCCAGCTGTCGATCACTCTTGACACTGACCCGGTCTACCTTCACCACATATGATAGAACGAAGTCATTCACAAATTTTATTGCTATTTCGATTAAAGGAGTTTAAAAACTGACGCTGCAAGAAAGATGTGACAAAGTAACCAATACATTTTCAAGTTCTCTCTCCATCAAACTGTTATACATAGTCTACGAATATTGCGTCTACACTTTAATCATTGATCAAGCTGCTGCGCTGACCCAAGTGAGCATACAAATCATTCTTGTAGGGCTAGATTTCAGAGAAAACGTTACGTCCAGGACCTTACAGGTCTCGGATCAATTGTGCACTGCGGAGTAGAGGTGGGTACGACAAGCTTTGTTGGCCGTCACAAGTTTACCGTCGTCGGTATTCCGATGTGTGATGCACTGGTGGGAGTATGCAATGCGGGCTCCGGATTTCCAAGGTGGTCTGCCGAATTCAGTGTTGTCAGGGGCCATTCTTATGTTACCATTCTTATATATAATTTTCCTGGTTGACTAGTACCAGTACTGGCCTTTCGCGCGCAAGCGCATTTACTTTGTAACAATGCGGCATCTGCAAGATTGCAGTGCCTTGTAGCCATTGTACAATCGTCCTGCACTTGGGCCAGTGCACCGCTGACAAAAATACATATATCTCTCGTAATTCGCACCCACGTCCTGTGCCATCAGTGGCATTTCGAGGTCAGCCATGGCTAGTAAATAAGTAGCTGCGAAAAAAGAGATTCCCGGAATTCTTATCATGGAGAAGACGAAACATTGCCGACTCTTTCTGGATGGTGTGATTCACCGTTAACAAGCAGAAACCACGGGAACATACTTTTTCCTTCTCTTAAACGAGCTTATTTCCGTTTCACACGTGGTGGATGTAGTAGTGCACGCAGGCAAGATCGAGTGTCGAATTGCTTTCAAGGTTCAGCGCTGGCCACGTCCGGAGAGGCCAGAGGACACAACCATGCAAGAACGCATGCACACTCACCGATCTTGATCACCTCTGGCAGCGCTGCCTCCGAGTCACCGGCCGCCAGCAGGACGGCCAGCAGCAGCAGCAGCAGCACCGAATTCACCGGCGCCATGCTTCTTCTCCCCCTTCCGCTCAACGCTGTCCCTCTGGCTGCCGGGGTGCTGGTGCGGCTATTCGCGTCCGCCGTCTAAACTCGGCTCTTACGCTCGCCGCGCCACGGGCCGGACGAGGATCGCGACTGCAAGGCCGTCGCGTCTCGTGCCCTGTCACGGGCACAGGGCCCGTCGTTCCGGCCAGATTTCTCGGGGGTCAGGCCGGCCACGATCTAGCACGCGCAGCCCTCTCCCTTGGGTTGCAGTCCATTCACGATGCCGGTAAGTTAAATGGAGTGACTGTCTCGACGGTAAGCAAGTGCGTAAAAGTCTGGCAGGTTTTGTAAAGCACTACAGGGTACATCTCGACTCTTGTACCTAAGTAAAGTGATTGAGTGCGATAGTATAATTAACTACCACTCCTCGAATACCAGAATATGCGAAACGCAGGGCTCAAAAGAATACTGCATTCGCAAAATGCACTTTAGCCATGGTTTCGTTAATATAATAAGTTTATTGGTATTTTGTTTTCCATGAGGCCATGCGTGTTTTCCAGTATTGTCGATGTAGAATTTCGTAACGTCGCACTTCTTTCTCCAACACGTTCTACATGGGGGTTGCCTTGAGGATTATGTCAACACACTCCCCCCTTTCCAGCCCCCGAAATTTCACTGACTTTGCATTATTACATGTACAAGCACCCCCACAAACACTTCTCTGCTGCTGTTTCATACATAATGTTGGCAATAAAATACGTATGGTTCATGATGATTATAAAGAACTAAGAAAGTTTCATAAAATGCAAAAGGTTCATGACGTGCATGAACAACTGAAGCAGGCTCGCAATCTCAGCCTACTCACTTTTTACTAACACGCGAAGATGAGACAGACATTTCGTAAAAACAGCTTTCGCGGCCGTTTCACCACACTAAACTTTATTTAACCAACACATTTCACACCAGCTAGGTAAAAAGCCAAGCCCTGCATTTTTTTTCGACAATACTGGCTCAGTTCCATGGTGCACATTTTGCTGCATCACTCGTTTGCGAACCACAAACGCCGGAGGCGGCTTCAAGTTATTCTACCTTTGAGTACCCTTTACCCCGCGAATGCTTCTTGGCACGACCGGCGTGTGTCCCGCGAGCTAACCAGCTAAAGAGCGGTGAAAGGCAAGAAGTGGTTAGCTTCAGCAGCTATAATGGGCACCACTGTCTCGGCGATTCCGCGGGTTCTTGCGGTCTCACGCATCTGTTATAAGGTGTAAGCCGGAGTTCGCGTTGGCGTCGCACGAATGGTCATGCATGAGCGAGTTCAAATGCACCTGATGCCTTGGTTCTTTCTAACTTATATTTTCACTCCGTTCATTCAAGGTGTTCCTTTAGTCCGTTTAGGCTATATAAATGAGCATTTCTTCTGGGGCAAGAGTCAGGTACCACGAAGCCAAGGCTGCCGGCAGCGTTTTGTAAAACAGCGGTGACAGAAACAGAAGGAAGCAAGGAACGCAACCGGCTTATTCTGTGAATGGTCTGGTCTTATGTGAACCTTTTAGCTATGTGCATGTTCGTTCACGTGTTGTTTCTTGCGAATTTTTTGCATCATGTATAAAATGTGCTCCTTTTTTTTCGCAGAGCTGAAGGCATGAAAAGGAGAGCTTAGGAGAGTATTACTAGTCTTCTCACCTTGTTACGATTCAGCGTTACGCACGGATGTACACATATTGACCAAATGATCAAAATGACAACATTCATTATAAGCGCATACGGTCTCCAAAAACCAAAACTTACATTACTATCTATCTATCTATCTATCTATCTATCTATCTATCTATCTATCTATCTATCTATCTATCTATCTATCTATCTATCTATCTATCTATCTATCTATCTATCTATCTATCTATCTATCTATCTATCTATCTATCTATCTATCTATCTATCTATCTATCTATCTATCTATCTATCTATCTATCTATCTATCTATCTATCTATCTATCTATCTATCTATCTATCTATCTATCTATCTATCTATCTATCTATCTATCTATCTATCTATCTATCTATCTATCTATCTATCTATCTATCTATCTATCTATCTATCTATCTATCTATCTATCTATCTATCTATCTATCTATCTATCTATCTATCTATCTATCTATCTATCTATCTATCTATCTATCTATCTATCTATCTATCTATCTATCTATCTATCTATCTATCTATCTATCTATTGGCCGTATATGCCAATCCGCAGCCTGTAGTTGCTTCTACGTGTTCAGCCGGCGCGTTCGATGAAACCTTCTTTCTCAAATCGTCTGTGTGCAGCTTGAGGGTTTGCTAAAAGTTAGTTGTATCGCCGACGTAACATACGAAAATGCTATCACAACAAACAACGTTGACATGTTAACAATTTTATCCTAACAAATCATGTACCCATGCATTATATAATGTACGCCGTGTCGTTCTCTTGGTCCACATCTTCAAGTGCGTAGTAACTTCTGAGTTACCTTGACGCACTTAAACGTAATTTGTTTAAACCGGAATAAATATTGGAAAAAGGGTTAATTAATCCACGTTTTACCGCTCCTAGATGAATGTGTCATGATTGTCGGTACGTGGACAGGGTGTTCATCGTTTTGAGCAGCTTTTTGTTTCTAGTTCGGATTTGTTTTTTGTGTGGTGGTACTAAGATGATGTTTCGCTCTTTCTATTATTCACATAAAATATTAGCAAAAAAAGATTCCCACTGTTCTTAACTTTGTACAAACATTACATATATTTTCCACTGCATGATTCTCTGCTGTTTGCTATATTGTCACTGGTAATAACATCAGTGCAAGTAACACTATAGCAAACAGCGGAACAGCTTCAATCGAGCAGTGCAAGTTCGTCGTCGTCTTGCAGGCGGAAAGGTGTGAATCCTGTAGTTTCTTGCACGGCGGTGTTATATGCGAAGTTACGAAAGGGAGGACACTGTTCCAGTTAATATAGTCCACGTCGACATACATGAAAATCATTCTGTGATGGTGTTATTGAGCCGTTCTGTTAATCCGTTAGCTTGTGGATGGTAAGCTGTCATTCGGCAATCTACGGCGCCGCTGAGTGTCATCACTTCTTCCAGCAGTTGGGCAGTGAAGGCCGTGCCTCTGTCTGTTAGAACCCCGGACGGTGCACCATGGCGGAGGACGACAGCATGAATGAAGAAATCCGCGACATCACTTGCCGTACCGCGCTGGAGTGCTCGTGTTTCGCAGGTAACAGGTTAAATGGTCAGTCCCAATTATTATCCAGCGATTCCCCGCTGAAGATTTGGAAATAGACCTAAAAGGTCCATGCCAACTTGTTCGGTTCTCGGGGTGATTTCACAGGGTGTAAAAGACCAGCAGGTTTCACGGGCGCAGTCTTGCGATGCTGGCAGTCTCGCCAGGTTTTGGCGTAGCGATTGACAGTACGGGACAGTTTGGGCCAGTAGTACGTGTGGCGGATATGAGCCCGAGTACGCGTGAACCAAAAATGACCGAAAGATGGTTCGTCATGGCACGTCTTAAGTATGTCGTCTCGCTTCACAGACTGGTACGACCAAGAGGGCAGTTCGGGCGTTGGGATCAAAGCTCCCCTTGTACAGGACGTTGTCACGAACGGAAAAATGATGAAATCGTGCGCCTGAATGTTCGTGGTGGCTGTTCAAGCTTGTCCTGGAGATAGTCAGATGACCGGGCGAAGTTCTGTGTCATCACGCTGTTTTTGAGCCAAGTCGGAGGCTGTGATGGCTATGAGGAAACTTTCGTCGTCAGTTTGGTCAGGAAGAATCGACTCGACTGGGGCACGCGACAGGCAGTCAGCATCGGTGTGCTTGTGTCCTGACTTGCAAACCACCATAACGTCAAATTCTTGTAAGCGAAGACTCCAGTGAGCTAGGCGGCCTGAGGGGCCTTTAAGGCCTGCAAGCCAGCACAAGGAATGGTGGTTGGTGACTATTTTGAACGGTCGCCCGTAAAAATACGGTCTGAGCTTGGCTATGGCCCACACGACAGCTAGGCGTCCTTTTTCTGTGGTGGAATGGTTCGTTTCAGCCGATGATAACGCATACGACTAGCGTAGGCGACCACTTCCTCGATACCTTCCTGCCATTTCACAAGGACGGTTCCGAGGCCAACATTATTTGCATCTGTATGCACTTCAGTGTCGGCATTTTCGTCGAAATGACCCAAGATTGGAGTAGTCTCGAGGCGTCGTCGTAGCTCGCAAAAAGCTTCGTGTTGTTCTGAGGCCTACACAAAAGCAATGTTGTCTCTCGTGAGTTGGTTTAAGGATTCTGCTATTCTTGAAAAGTTCGGAACGAAGCGAAGATAATATGCACAAAGGCCAAGAAAACGGCGTACGTCCTGTTTGTTCGTCAGAGTTGGTAAGGCAGCGACAGACAGTGTTTTCTCGGGGTCTGCACGAATTCCGTCACTGTTGAGGACATGGCCGAGAAACTTGAGCTCCTCGTAGCCGAAGTGGCGTTTTTCAGGCTTGAGTGACAGGCCAGCTGTTTGTAGCGCCTCAAGTACTGCACGAAGACGCTGAAGGTGCTGCTCGAAAGTCGATGAAAAAACGACGTGGTTATCTAAATAGACAAGACACGATTGCCTCTTGAGACCAGGCAGAACTGTGCCCATCATTCGTTGAAATGTCGCGGGAGCAGAGCACAGTCCACAAGGAAGCACCTTGCTTTCGAAGAGCCCGTCAGGAGTAATGGAGACGGTCTTTTCCCCGTCACGGTCATCGACCTCAATTTGCCAATAATCACTGCGTAGATCCATGGGTGAAAACTATCGGGTGTTTCTAAGGCGGTCGAGTGAGTCGTCAGTGCGAGGAAGCGGATAAACGTCTCTTTGTCAGGGTGTTCACTTTGCGATAATCAACACAGAAACGCAATGTGCCGTCTTTCTTTTTCACCAACACAACCGGTGATGCCCATGGGCTTGTAGATGGCTGAATGATGTCGTCAGCAAGCATTTGTTGTACTTGGTCGTGGATGGCGTCTTGTTCTCTGCGGGAAACTCGATAGCCATGTTGTCGAATAGTCCTTTCGCTGGGCTCTGTTATGATTCTGTGCT